GTTCTGTGTGACATATTTGGTGGAGTTCAGAATGCTCTTTGGTTGTAGGTGAACTATACATCCCAGTAACTACAACTCGCATATGTCAAGGTCTATTTTCCCCCAAGAGCGCCTCAAGAGCGCCCCTGGGCAAAATCAACTATACTGCAAATGCTTACTTTGTGTAATGGGTTGAGCCGCCCCTGCCTCCACCACACTCCGGGGCAGAGAGTTCCACTGCTGAATGGCTCTCACAGTCAGGAAGTTCTTCCTCATGTTCAGATGGAATCTCCTCTCTTGAAGTTTGAAACCATTGTTCCGCCTCCAAGTCTCCAAGGAAGCAGAAAACAAGCTTGCTCCCTCCTCCCTGTGGCTTCCTCTTACATATTTATTTATACATGGCTATCATATCTCCTCTCAGCCTTCTCTTCTCCAGGCTAAACATGCCCAGCTCTTTCCTTATAGGGCTTGTTCTCCAGACCCTTGATCATTTTAGTCGCCCTCCTCTGGACACATTCCAGCTTGTCAATATCTCTCTTGAATTGTGGTTCCCAGAATTGGACACAATATTCCAGGTGTGGTCTAACCAAAGCAGAATAGAGGGGTAGCATTACTTCCCTAGATCTAGACACTATGCTCCTACTGATGCAGGCCAAAATCCCATTGGCTTTTTTTGCCTCCACATCACATTGTTGGCTCATGTTTAACTTGTTGTCTATGAGGACTCCAAGATCTTTTTCACACGTACTGCTCTCAAGCCAAGCGTCCCCCATTCTGTATCTTTGCATTCTGTACCTCTTCATTTACACTAGCAATTTTCAAATTCTTGTCTCCAGTACCATGTTTTTAACTGTTTCCTGAAGACCGCTAAGGTGGGGGTGAGTCTAAGTTCCTTGGGAAGGGCATTCCAGAGCTGAGGAGCCACAGTAGAGAAGGTCCTCTCCCTCATCCCCACCAACCACATTTATGACGGTGGCAGGATCAAGTAGAGGGCCTCTCCAGCAGATTTCAGGGCCCATGCAGGCTCGTAAGGGGAGACACAGTCACACAAATAGGCTGGATCCAAGCTGTGTAGGGTTTTATAGGTGATTACCTGCACTTTGAATTGGGTCCAGAAACATATAGGCAGTCAATGGAGCTCTTTTAACACGGGGGTGGTGTGTTCTTTGTAGTTAACTTCTGTCAGTGGCCTAATAATAATAATAATAATAATAATAATAATAATAATAATAATAATAAACAACTTTATTTGTACCCCGCTCCATCTCCCCGATGGGGACTTGGTGCAGCTTACATGAGGCCAAGCCCAAAACAACAATTACATGAAATAAAACAAAACCAAAAACGCAAATAATAAACAATAATAATGCAATTACATAAAACAAAGACAACATAGCAATATAAAATTACAATAATCTTACAATATAAAATTACAATAATATAAAATTACAATAAAATTACAATAGTTGCTGGCCTTTGTACTAGTTGTAGTTTCTGGGCCATATTTAAAAAAAGTATTTAAAATATTGATGATCTGTTGTTTTGCGTGCTTTTTATACTTTTAAAAACATTTGATTGTTTACATTGTTTCAAGTTGGTTAGGTTTATTTTTATTGTACATCATCAAAAGTAAATAAAGAACTTTTTGGCTTGAACATTATACAGGCCATGCTTGCTGCATATACTTTATGTGTTTCCTTCTTTGGAGGCTTTTAAACAAAGGCTAGAAGGCCATCTGTCAAGGGTGCTTTGATTGTGCTTTCCCTGCATGGCAGTGGGTTGGGCTAGATGACCCATGTGGTCTCTTCCACCTCTGTATTCTATTATTCTATGATTCTATTCTCACTACAGTGTGCTGTCCTGTTTAGTGTTGTATTGTAGTCTGTGTGTCTAGCAACCTGGAGTGTATGACTCAAGTTTCCTTGAAGCATCAACAATAGAAAAGGCTCGGTAGCAGAATAAATGTCCTTCAATCTATATCTGGTGATTTTCCCTCTGCTCCCAACTGTTCAACTAGGCACTATCTGACACCAAATTTGGAGGATGAAGGATAGACTCTGTGACACGTACATCTCTGTCCTCCAAAGATGATGAATCATGAGAGGATGGATTTCTTTAAAAGATGAAACATTGGGGGGGGGGGGTGTATTTCAACATGACATAAAACTGATGAAATTTTCTCTTGACACAGATATTACATTTAATTAGGAAATTGAGCAAATATCCCAGAGGACAAAATTGGGATTCAAAATAGCCCAATGAATTGGAGAGCCCAACCAAAAATATCAAAATGAATTTTGACAGTGATAAATGTAAGATACCACAGTTAGGCAGAACAAAGTAAAAAAAGAAAGGTATACGAGGTGGGGCATCTGACTTGATAACAGTAAATGTAAAAAGGATTATGCAAACTATTAGTCAACCATGTGATAAAGTAGTTGAAAATGTCATTGCAATTCCAGCATCCAGATCAGTAGAAGTCATCTTTTACTTCTGGTCACTCCATGTTTGTGCTAACTATAGTCCAGAGTAAAACCATGATCTTCACTGCTAAGGGCTGGAGTTATGCTGAAGCTCTAGAGTTATGCTGAAACTCCTCAAAATAGAAACTCCAAAACATTTTAAAAGACTGCACTAGTGGAAAGCATGGAATGTTCAGCTGCTAACCAATTTCTGGCAATCTTGTCCAATATTTCCAAAGAAGAGACAATGTTTCCAAAGAAGATACAAGAAAACACAGAGATTATTGCTTTGGGGCTGAGAAAGATTTGCATGGTCTTATTAAGAAGCTTTGAAAGAAAGGGGAACAAGAATGCACATTAATACAAAACCACAACTGAATACAAACATTGCCTGTTCACATATACCTCATATTAATTTTTTTATGAAATACAATCTGTAAAGATTTTGCAATAAACCAATGGAGTTACATGCATATAAAATGGAACTCTCAACGTACTTATAAAACAATCGGATAATCTGGTTGCTGCAGTTTCAAAGAAGTATCCAGACTTGCAAATGACTATCAGTTGTTTTTAAAATAGAAAGAAAAATATTTTAATCTTCCTAATTTGGGTATGTATATCAAGACCATCATAATCTTAGTAGCTTGGTAACATGGAATTTATGAAAATCTGTCCCTCTTAAGCAGAGTTCAACCCTGAGTTTGTCTATACTGTCTGGCAGTGTTATCTTCAAAGATTGAAACAAGAATCTTTCTTAGCCCTCTTCAGTAACATTACCCAAGGACTGGACCTGGAAACTGAGATGTGATCCTTCCATAAGATCAGAGGTGGAAAATGTATGGCTCTCTAGATATTTGGAACTGTAACTCATGTTATTTCTGTCAGCTCCAGGCAATATAGACGATGATGAAGGATCATAAAAGTTGCAGTCTCACAACACCTAGAGGGTTGTTATGTTCCAGATATTCATGAACTGTGCCCAGTTCAAACAAATCCTCTTTGTTCATTGCATTAGGAGCTCAAACAAAGGCTTTATAAAAGCACAAGTAATGCAGGTACAGATATTATAGGGGATAAACTAAGTTGAACATTCACTGGGATTGGATCCTCAGCAGTCTTTTGAAAGACAAAAGTGTTCCCGGTAGACAAAAGTGTTCCCAGTATAGTTTTGGTAAAGCATACAAACTGTTTGACTACATTCTCTTTAACTGTCCTGATTCGACAGCGACAGCCCACTTAATTCTCCATTGTCCCACTTTTGGCCTGCTTTTAAATTGTCCCAGTTTTGCTATCTTCTTCCTACTTTCCCCATTTGTCCCCAGCTTAGTTCAGTTGCTACAAACTGAGGGTTTTTCCAGACAGGCCCTATACACAGCCATATAACCCAGACAGGCCCTACATCCCAGGATCTGATCCCAGCTTTTCTGCTTTAAACTTGATTATATGAGTTTGCACTGCTAGATAATCTGGCAGCCATTCCTAGCTTGTTTGATCTTCCTTATCAATTACTTTTGCCATCTACACAACAATCTGATATTGCTTTGCCACACATCCCAGTGTTGGAATGTATGCAAAAACAGAAGGACAAGATGACCCATACAAACTATGCTATTCCTCTACTAATGCCATAGTTATATTAGTATCATTATATACAAATCTTTCCATGTGATAGAAAACTAGAGTAGAACACATTATTGTTGTCAGATTGCAGGCAAATTAATGGATTCCTTCTTAACAGTTAAGAAGAAACATAAGTTCAAAACCTTTGAGAAGCAATAACTCATAGAAATACCTTGCACCCACATCCCTGCATAGTTATATGTTTTGAAATGCTGATTAGCTTAAGGCAGCAATGCAATGTACTCTTGTATGGGAGTAACTCCGATTGAACAAGATAGCTTTATGTTTGAGTAGATATAGAATTATGTGATGCAATCATTATTTCTACCTCTTGGCAGAGCTAAGAGGGCTGATTCTATTGTGTATGAATCATTAACGTTTAACCTTAAATTTGAAATGTATAACTTGCTAGAGACCTTTGATATACAAAGAAGGGTTTAATTACATTACATTAATGAAAATGTACTTAGGCAGAGGCAGTGACAGATAACTTGGAAGTGAATTAACTTAGAATTTTTGGATAAAGTCAGCATTAACTACACAATTCCAGGATTAGAGATATTCCCCACATAAGCTTTTCAACTGATATAAAACAGACATTGATGTAATTATTGTTTACAGTTCTTTGATCAGACTTGAATCAAATGAACACAATACCTCTGTCATTATCCTGTAACAAACTTGGAAATCAATCCCAGTGGTGACCCATTAAAGATGTTTTGTCATTTCCTACTTTTTCCTTAAAACTTAATTTTGTCTGTAATTTGAACTTGGTTGCTTTAAGTCAGAGTTTTCCAAACTGTGTGGCATGTCAACATGTTGTCTGCAGTGTTGCATGAACATAACAGTGTTGCATGAACATAACAGGAAACCTCTGAATCTGTTTGAATAATAAGCAACAAATCATGTATTTTATGAGATTTCTTGTGTCCCCAGAGTTTGCTGAAGCTGCAAAGAGGAGGACTGACTGATACTTCTAGTAAGTAAATCTCCGTGCTGGGCTGGGGAAAAAAAATCCCTAAATGGATCATCCTTGGGGGTCCCTTCCAACTGAATAGGGGAAGCATATTAATTAGTTTAGAGACTGGATGGCCATCTGTCAAGAGAGTTTTGATGGTGCCCTTCTGTCTGAAAGAAGGGAATTGGACTAGCTGGCCCTTGGGGAGTCTATGAAAATGTAAAATTGATTGATATTGGTATCTATTGGTTAATATGAGAGACATTGAATTAGATAGCTGTTCTGGCTTAATTTTTTTGTCAAAACTTTAAAAAATCCTTAAAATCAGCAGATGTATGAATATTTCTGAACGTTTGGGAGAATGTTTTCCACTATCTTGTGTAATTGAATAGAAAATTCCAGAATATAGCTCTTGCAGTTTTTTTAATAAGAAAATGTTGTTTATAAAAACTTAGAAAATTCCTCAAAAATCAGGGGATAAGTGAAACATTCTGAAACATTATGGGCTAACTGTGGTAAATGTGTACTACCACTGTAGCAAGTTCCACAGCAATAGTTGTAAAAATGTGGAAGAAAAGAGCCCCTGAAATTTCCCCAATTATATTAATTATGTGCAATTACAGTAACAAAAAAAAGCAATGAAATTTCATTACTCTCATTATAGTAATAAAATGTTCACTAAGTATAGAAACACTTCGGAAACAAAACACCAATGCCCCTTAATTTTGTAATGACTTTTGAAATATTTTTTATTGATAGTACATGCCTAGCAGCTCAACCATAGAACCATGGAGCAGAGTAAGCCTATGTGGCTCTAAGTTCCAATTTGGCAAAAATAGAGTTAAATTCCCCACCAACCATTTGTATTGTTGCACAACTAATGGGCTTTCTTGTCCCACCACAAAAATGCAAGAAAGACTTTTGCAACAAGATATCTTGCATGAATCCAAAAAAGTGAAACTACTTTGACAATAAAAGCTGATTAATAATAAAGCAATTAATGTGTGAAGATTAGTGATGCATTTATTTATCACATTTGGGAAGAAGAGTAATGTTCATGTGATTGAGATTGCTCCCTTTGTAATAATTGAGGTAGGTTCTGTAGAAAAAACAACAACAACAGGGAAGTAGCCAAGTCCAGCAGAACTTAGATTGGGACTCTGAAGCAAGTGCTTGTTGGCCTACATCTGGCACTATGCTTCATCTTGCCTTTCAACGTTAACTATGTTTCTGAAAAAATTACAGTTGGTTTGAAACATGTGATCAGCATGGTGCTTCTGGATGCCTGCATGATTCAAAGAGCTGAAAAAAAATATTTGGATAGGGAAACTAAAATAGCTGAAAATGTGAGCAAGCCAAAAATGCACAAGAATTAGATAACAGCAAACTGGATGATGGATGAGCAATACCACAAAGAAAGGATGGATATCTGCGAAGAGTACATAGACTGATTGCCAATAATCCCAGCTAGACTGTGTTCTCTATCAGAGAGCTCCAGTGGCATTAAGTGTTGAATGAGTGTTGCTTAATGCTCAAATGCCATTGATTCTTTTGTCACTTGCTGCTTCTGTACTTGCTTATTAGATACAACATTTATGTCAGAAAACATCATCCTTTTTTTAATCCTTGGCAAAGCCCCACTGTTATACTCACTTGAAAGTTAAAAGCTGACCTTTGGTCGAAAGCCTTCTTTTGCTGCTCCAATTCTTCCTGGTTTTAGGCTGTGACAGAAGCATCGTGCTGAAATCATGTATTCTATCTATATTTCAGATGTCTGAAAAAGGAAAGAAGATCACAGAACTCAAATTAATTCTTCACAAGTCATATTATTGTCCTGGACATTTTCCCTCCTAGTCTTCATATCAATGTGTTGCCTTGTTAAGTGCCAATAAGCACGTATGACACTCTAACAAGGCAGAAATTGGCTTATTGATGGACCTGTCAGCTGTTCCTCCTGCAGCAAGAGGATGGTAAAATACAAGCAACAGGGAAGGAGTGGATCTGCGTGCTCTCTCTCCCCATGTGCATGATCTTTGTTTGTGCCCTACAGCACCCAAAGACCTTTACGCAAATTGCAGGTAGACTGATATATTGTCCCTTGCTGTGCAAGCCCTGTCACCAATCACTAGAGTGAATGGCACAGGCTGCTGTGACTTTCAAATAGAACCCCTTTGCTTCATCAGGAAATAACACTGCAGTATTTGTGTTTTGTAGTCATATTTATTTTTGTTTTTTGTTGCTCAAGGAGCAGATTTCACTAACAACATGGGGCCCAATACAGAATAAAATATATCTGGTCGACAGCGAAGTCCAGTGCAATTGACTCCAGCAGTCACTCTGAATGCTGGGAATACAAAGAGCTTGATGATGGTGACAATGATGATTGGCCAGCATTCTCTATCAGTGTATGTATCCTTCTTTGACACAACCTCCTTCCTTGCACCAGTTTGATTAAAGCATTATTCACCCATGTTTGAACTACTGGCAAAGTTGACCCTCTTTTCCTTATTCAGGGGAAGTTACAATCATAGTAATTGTGTCACAAACTTAATGAAGTGGGAATTTTAGATATGGAACAATTACTTACATTTACTCATAATTTTTTTCCACAGGGGGAAAATGTTATTTAGGGAGCCAAAAATGTGTGAATAGAATATGCCCATAGCATTTTCTGGACAAGAAAAAAAATCAATATATAATTTTTCTGTACTAAAAACAATATAACAACCAGAAATATTATTTTCTGGACTGAAAATGTTTCCTGCACAGAAAATACTGCTTCTGTACAGAAACCATGCATCCAAATTAATAGGGGTGTGCAAAATTTCAGAGGTCATTTTATTTTTTGGAAGATTTGGGCACTTTGGAATAATGAATCACTGAAGGCAAACGAGCCCCCGAAGCAATATGAATCAAAACAGCCCCCTCCAAAAATTTGTAAATGCTCTGGTTAATTTGGAGCATTTTTTTTACAATGTAACTAACAACATTGCCTGAGGTGGGAGGAAAGGAGGAGGTTGAACATGGCAGCTGCAAAGCTAATCTCCCCTCAGTGCTTGAAAGATCTGTTCTGTGTTTGTTAAAACTTAAACTTAGAAAGTGATTGAAAATTACACTCCTCTTTCCCTAGACTTTGGATTGGGGATCTTAGAAAGTACTTTAAAAGTACACTTCTCTTTGTTTAGCCATAGCAGGAAGATGGAATTACTGTATTATTATTATTATTATTATTATTATTATTATTATTATTATTATATTCATTAATTATTACTTCATTATTTATTAGACTCATACAGTTGAAAGAGACCCCAAAGACCTTCCAATCCCAATTCATTCTATCAAGCAGGAAGATGTAATAATTACTATTATATTATTATATCCATTATCATTTATTTGTACATAACAACACAGCACACATGCATATTAGGTCCAAGTTTCTGGGGTACATATCTGAATATCAGGCTCTTCCCAAGGTCCTAGGATATTAGAGGTATTTTAGCAGAATGTGTGCAGTTCCAAGAAGTGTTGCCTTCTGCAGCATGTGGATTGATGTTCTATCCAAATTAAGGCTTTTCCAGTGCTTTTCAAGGTTTCTTGGAATGTTTCCAAGCACACCAACCATTATTGGTACCACTGTTGTTCTCTTTTGCCATAGTCGTCCAATTTCAATTCGCAAGTTCTCTTATGTTGTGATCTTTTCTACTCTACTGCCTCCTGGTAGTGCAATGTCTATAATAAAAACCTGTTTCTTTTCCACAACTGTTATATTTGGTGCGTTATGTCTCAAGTGTTTATTTGTTTGGATTCTAAAATCCCAGAGTATTTTTGCTTCTTCATTTTCCTTGGTCTTTTCTGGCTTGTGCTCATAACAGGTTTTACCGCAGGGTAGGCCATACTTCTTGTAAAGATTTCAGTGCACCATTGCTGCTAGCCTGTTGTGATGTTCAATATAGTCATTCTGGGCTATTTTCCTGCAACTGCAAATGAGGTGCTCCACTATCTCATCAATTCCTTTGCACAAATAGCACCTTGGATCATTGTAGGACTTTTTAATAATTCTTGTTTTTATTGCATTTGTTTCTAAGCCTTCTAAGCCACTCCCATGTTTTCTTGCTGTTGACCTTTCCTTCAGTGCTCTTAAACTACTACCTTGCTTAGCCACTACTCTTTTTGTGTTGCAAACTGTTTATATTTTCAAGCCTCTGAGGCTGAGAGAGTGTGATGCACCCAAAGTGCTTAAATTGAAAAGAAAATCCTAAAAATCAGTGGATAGCCGGATGTTTCTGAAGCTTTGCAGGAATTATGTTGTACTCATGTTCTGTCACTGTGGAAAAATTTAAGGGGATACTTCTTTTAGTGTTTTTTTTAAAATGTAGTAAAAGCTTTTAAAATTTCCTAAAAAAATCAGTGGATGACTGATATGTTCTGAAACTTTGCAGCAATAATGCAAAGTTCTGTTAGTGTGGGTAAATTCAATGTGATATGTCTTTTGGGGTTTTTTTTAAAAAATGTTACTTGTAAAGAATTTTTAAAATTTCTAAGAATTGTAGATAACTGAAACTTGTCAGGCGAACAATTGTACGTACATGTGGCCTACAAGTGTAACAAGTTTCTGAAAGCCATAAAAATGGTGGAAAAACAATCCTCTACAATTTCCCCATTGCCACTAATGGAACAAATCTTACTTGAACAATAACAAAACTTTGGAATTCGAATGAATAGAAAATAGGAATCCAAATTTTGAAATGATATCCAAAACAAATTCTGACTTTTAACACACCTCTACAAATTATGGACAGAATAAGCACTGCAATGTAAATAGAATTTTGAAAACAGAGGGCTTTCAAACACTTTCCCACAACAGGAAGAAAATTGCCAAAGTTACTTCAAGGATGACATTAGTGAAGTCTGCCACCCTTACCTTTTGCTGCACTTCCACATCTGCCCTCAAACACAAGCACAGCTCATGGAACCAGGGTACACCTTCATAGCTAGTCAGTAGCTAGTGGGAAGAAGTGGGTTCTAACCACCAGCAGCTTTAGTTTTTCAGCAAGAGAAAAGGGAAAGCTGTATGTCTCTTCAGTCTCCAGAGAGTCTAGGTTGGATATTGGAGGTGGGTCATTGTACAAGAAGGTACTTAATATCTCTTTTTGTAAATATCTAAAAAGTTTGGACTTTGTTATACCATTAATAGGATTCAGGCTAATTTTAGCCTTAATTATGGTAGATTTATTGGAAAGAACTATCAATAGAACTTATGCTCTATTGATATAAGTCTCTTTTTTCTACAGATGGAAAAAAAATTAATTGCAATTAACAATGTTGGCAAAATTTGCACTTTTGTCCTTCTCAAGATTTGTGAGGAAATGTACACTCACCTCGAGCATATGCACATTTGAGAGTCATACAATGCTCTTTTGAGAAAGAAAATGCTTCCCAAACTATGTGCTTATTTCAAATTGTTGTTGTTGTTCATTCGTTCAGTTGTTTCCGACTCTTCATGACCTCATGGACCAGCTCATGCCAGAGCTCCCTGTTGGCCGTCACCACCCCCAGCTCCTTCAAGGTAAATCCAGTCACTTCAAGGATCCTATCCATCCATCTTGTCCTTGGCCGGCCTCTCTTCCTTTTTTCTTCCATTTTCCCCAGCATAATTGTCTTCTCTAAGCTTTCCTTTCTTCTCATGATGTGGCCAAAGTACTTCATCTTTGCCTCTACTATCCTTCCCTCCTGATCGCTAAAAACACACAATTGAGAAACACACAGAAAAATATGATTGAGTCAGAGAAAGTAAGTTTCATATATTGCATAAAATCAATAGGAGATACACACATTAGATAAGATTCATAAAGTTCTGATGTGAGCAAAATTTAGATGGGATCTCTAGAGATTTGGACTTTATCAGAAATAGGTGAAATGCATGAAGAATCAGGACCCTCACAGTGAGTTTCTATGGCTAAGCAAGAATTCAAAACTCTCCCCAGAGTTGTTGTCCAATGCTCAAATCACTATATGTCACTGAACCCCCAGAATATGCCTAAACAGAGAGAAATGATTAGTTTAATATTGTATGCTGATCTGCCTCCTTGTTCACTCTCTTTTAGATGACACACTTCCTCTGTCTTTTGATGAGTGGATAAATGGTCACTGTAGCATGATCCCATAGAGCTGCAGTAAACATTGTGCTGGACAAAGCAATAGTTTGACTTAGTGTGGCAGGCACCTTTGTTCTGTGTTACACAAGCTATAGTTGGGTCTGAGGCTTGATAACTGCTGTAAATATACAAAGCTTTGGAAGTGCATGAGAGCTTATGTGTGTGGGAGCTTCATGGTTGTTTCTTTCATGCTCTTATCCTCTATGCGCTTTGAGTTCAGGGGTAGAGAGTGATCTTTGAAAGACAACTTTCCTGAGAAGATGTGGATGTTTCTATAGAAGATTTGCAGCAACCTCAGTACAAAGAAGTGCTTCTTTGTTGTGACTCCATATCTCACTGAAGCAAACAGATCAAATCCAACCTGAGTCTTCATGGTTGGAAGGCCATGGGACAGAGTAGAAATATGTTATAACTTAATGCATTTTGAAGAGTAAGAACATGTGCTTGACCTGATGTAGGCTTGCTTAGATCTAAAATTAAAAGAGAATAATAAAAGGGTTGGATTGGTTTGTCCTTTTCCTTTCCATTTTCCCAATGTTCCCACTGTTTATGTATTCTGCTAACAACAGTTTCTCTCTCTCTCTCTCTCTCTATCTATCTATCTATCTCCTCCCTCTCCCTCCCCCCCCCCCCCCCCCCCCCCCCTGTGCAGCTTAATAAAAAGCAATAAAATACAATGAAATAGCAGCAAGCCTAAAACCAATAACATCAAAGAACTAAGACAGCTGGGGCAACAGATAGAAACAGTAGCCCAAAAGCATCAGAAGGAGCTTAAATGTTTAAAAGTATGAGAAAAAATAGTTTAGTGTCTGAAAGGTAAAACAATCAAACAAACAAAAAAGAAAAAAAACACTATCTGAGAAGAACTTGGGGGAGAAACTCCACAGTGAGGCTAAAGCCATGAAAAAACTCATCTTTTTTGCATCCAATAGAAAATGAACTCAAAAATTGAGACACATGCCTAAGGACCTTCAAAGATGAGCATAAAGGAGGCGGGGGGGGGGGGGGTTGCATAGCAGAAGACAATCCTTTACATAACCCTGCTCCAGGCTGCTTAGGATTCATAATGTGCCAGGAATATATGAAGAGTGTCTGGCTTGATCAGCCATCCCTAGAACAGACACCTCTTAGGGAAAGATGTGGATGTGGGTTATTAATTATGAAAGATTTCTTTCCAATACAAAAACAAATATATATATATTTTAAAAAACTTGCTTACAAAGCTTGTTTATTCATATCAGTAACTGCACTCACTCCCGTCTCTATTGCAAATCAGTTTTCCCTAACCTCATCCTTGCTTCATTTCCATTACAAAGTGCATAACACAAGAAATATGTTAACTCTTTGCATGCTGGAATTTTATATGCAAAGAACAGTGTCTGCTCATGGCATTTTGCATTATGGAAGCTAATCAGAAAAGAGTTAACCACTACCCTGTTGGATAATGCATTCCAACCCCACTTTCACTTCTGCAGAAACATTTCCAATTAGATCTTTCTGATTTTTGATCTCTAAAATGATTGGATGTGCCCTGCTTCATTTGGTTCCTACTCCTCCAGCTGGCTTGATCTGGTCTTCTATTCTTCCTGCCTT